CTCTTTTTTTTTCGTCGTTCACCGCCCCGTCATCCCCGCTTTCTGGTTCCGCGTGAGATACGATCGAGCCAGACCGAGCCGCGGACGTGTCCCGCCATAAAAGTCGCGATTTACGAAGGCGGCCGCGCGAAATGGCCGCGGAGCCGTAAAAGCGGCCGCGTCCGGGTATGGGGGTGAGTCTTATTTAATAAATTCTATTTGCCAGCGTCGATAACGACGCCGCTTCCGCCACGACGGAAACGCGCCGAGTTTTTTCGTCCTGGAGTTATACGAGGCCTCCCCCCCGACCGCCCGTTCACGGAAAAACTTCGCGCGACTACTGCACCGCGTTTTCGACTGGGATTGGTTCTGCCGCAGGGTGAGAGGGCTGGCAGCAGGGTGGAGAGGGGGACAGGGTAGAAGGAGAGTCGAGGAGCGAGCAGCCACGTAATATAATCAGTCGATCTGATCGAAAAATAATAGCCGCGTCTGCCGTCGGTCTGACTGTCGGTGATTGAAATTTCTCTCTCCCTCGCCCACCCCCTCTGGTCGCCGTCGTTGCCACCCCTCTATCCTCTCGTTCTCTCTTTCTCTCTCTTCCTCGGTTGGCAGTCGAACGAATTTACTTTCCCTCCGGATCTTCGATACGGACGTTTATCCATTAAATGTTGGCGTTTGATGGATTTCTCCTCTCGCCTTCCTGTTTTTTTCCTGTCGCCCCTTGTTTCTCCTTTTTTTTTAGTTTCTGAGGTTTTAGGGCAGGTACTTCTGGAATGTTACTCGGGTATCGAATATTGAGATCTACTTACTCGATGATCATTTAATGGCCTTTTTAAACCAAACGCTGGAACTGTCGGATTGTCTAATTTCTATTCTTTTCTTTTGCGAAACAGTGTTAAATTTATTTTGTTCTTGTAAAAGGTACGTCTTTTTAATGATTGGTAAGGAGGAAACCTGGAATGGATCGTTTTGAGAGGTTTGATAGTTCTAGCGTTAACAGCTGAGAATTTTAGTAATCATTATTGTTTAGACGATTGCGTGTAGAAATTTTAATAAAAATAACATTCGAGAAATATAAATTTGAAATTTGGTAGTTGTAATGTAGTTAAGAAATTGTACGCTTTCATTGTGTAAGCAATCGGATGAAGCACTGTGGTAGGGTTCAAGGCTGACAGATTCGCGTCACTCACCTCAAAGCCCTGGACAATTTGTCATAATTCATGTTAGGCTTGGACTTCCTTTCGCCCCAGCGTCTCGCCACCTCGTCGGGGTCAGTCAACTTGAACTCCCCGTTGGTTCCTTCCCACGTGATGCACGCTGCGTTACTCGAGTCCGAGAGCAGTTCGAGCAAAAACTGCCAAAGCTGTATCTGACCTGAACCGGAGCTGGCGAGGCGACTGCTCGTCGCTCCGAACATTTGGTATGGATCTAGAAAATCATCAGAAAATCGATCTCGATCAACATTCCCATATTATATTGTAAATCTTCTATTCAACCCTTCGATTCCTGAATATATATTTTAAAGTGCAGTTTCCCGTGAAAATATTATTATCTCTTCAAATATATATAAATTTTCTTGTTTAACCCCTTAATCACTATGATTTCTTTCACAACTACGCTTAACAGAATTATTTTAATATTCATAATTCATTAGAAAAAGAAACAAACTTCACGCTTGTTCTACGTTTACATTTACTTGAGGATTTCTAATAATAGAAAAAAATATTCAATTCGAACCTGAAAGAATTAAGTGAGATTTATATTTGTTAAACTCTATTTGAAATCTTCGTCACGAGTTTGACACGATATCGTAGAGCAAGAGGTTAACTTGATTCGATTTAATTTAGACTACAATAAATCAAGTTTATGAAGTATAAAGTTTAATAACTATTTAACGTGTTCGTATTTAATATATTGGAATTTGTAAGTAAAAAATAAGAATTTACCAAGTATATTTCAAGATGCAAAGGGTTAAATTTTCTTCCTTCGATTATTCTTTCACTCTTTCTATGAATATATCGCACAGTTAATGAATAGTCTCTTCCAACTTTTTATCTTATCTTTAAATCATCATAACCACTAATAAAGCAAATAAAACTCTGTTTCGTCTTACTTTCTCGATTCCCTCCCACAAAATATAAATTTCGCGTAAAACTTCATAGTCTACATATTAGAATAATCTCTAATACAAAGATGCGAATAGGAAACACACCTAAATCGTTAATGTAGACCAATCGCCGTAAAAATCGCTCGGAATCTTTAAGAAACTTCTTATTTTCGGTCGGCGGTAGCAATTTATGTTTAGCTTCGTTCTTATTTCCCTTTAGAGATTGCTCAAAGATTAAATGATGTCAGAGGCACGAAACGGCTCGTGTTCTCGTGTGAGTGATGAG